CAAAACTCATAGCCATCGAGTCAGATCCAACTCACAAGAAGAGACAAGATGATTTGTTGAAAAAGCCTGGCCTTTTGAATTGAAAAAAAAAAAAAAAAAAAAAAAAAAAAACAAACTCACTGCCTTCAAGTTGGATCTGACTCATGGCAACCCTTCTGTGGGTTTCTGAGGCAGTATCACTATGGAAGTAGATTCCCCAACCTTCCTTCCGAGGAGTGACTGGTGGGTTTGAACTGCCAGCCTTCTGGTTAGCAGTCAAATTTTAGCTTTTCAAGGAAGTGATAATTGAGTAAAATTTGAAGGATGAGAAGGAAGTACACTTGGCCATAAGGAATGAGAAAAGCATTCAGGCAGAAGGAAAAGCATGTGCAAAGGCTTTGTGGCAGGAAGGAGTATAGTGAGTCCAAGCCACTGAAAGAAAGCCAGAGTAGCTGGAGTGAAGAAGTAAGGGCACATGGTGTGAGATGAGGCTTGATAGATAGGCAAGAAACACAGAAAGTAAGCCTCCATTTTTAGGAGATTTATGATTATAAGAGCAGTGGGAAATCAGCCTTTAATGGGATGTAGGCAGGATTGCAGGTAGGGAAGTTGAAATGGCATGACCAGATTTGCATTTTGAAAGGACTACTTAATTCTGTTTGCTGCTGAGTGGGGAACAGACTGGAGGGGATGCTACAAGTGATAGCAGCACTATGAAAGCTTAGTTTTGTTTCCTAAGAGACCAAAGGAAATCAGAAAGAATTCAACAGGAAAATAAGAACAAGACTGATCAAACAGACATAACCTAATGATGCAGCAGCTTATTGGACTCTAGAAAATGGAGTAGATGACAAGTATGTCATTTAATTATAGCTCTACTTCTTACTAGATTTACTTAATGCTCTAGCTAGTTTGTCCATCTATGATAAAGAGTTAATAATATTTACCTCTCTCCAGATTTTGAGGATTAAATTGAAATGAATATGAATTTTTCAGAGAAAGAGTGAGAGAGGGGCACTCTAAGTAGCTGGGACAGGAAAAGTAAAGTCTATAGGCAGGCAAGAATAGGATGTTGGGGAGTGGATCCTGAGATATTCTGAACAGCCCAAGGATAGCTTGTGGGAAGAGAGAAAGCTTGATCAGCCTTGGGAAGTTGTTGACTTGAGACAAGATTGAGAAGGGCTTTTCAGGAGATGGAAGCCAGTAAATGCTTTTCAGAAGTGGAATGAGGTGACCAAAGTTGTTCTTTGGAAAGCTGACTCTGGTGGTAGTATGAAGGATGAGTTAAAAGGGGAGAAGGCAGAGAGTGGGGAGCATGTGCAGTGTCCAGGCAGGAACAATGAAGGCATGAGACAAGGCAATGAGAGTAAGAATGGACGTGATGTTGAAACAAGTGGCATTTCTGAGGTAAGTTCTCGAGACTGGATGTGGGAAGTGCAGGAGCAGGGAGGGAAAAAAAAAAATTATCTCAAGGATTTTAGCTACAGGAACTCATGGATAATGATACTACTGAAGTTACAATAAGAGAAAGAACATATTTTAAAGGGGATATTAGTAAGTGTGGCTTGTGCTCATAATTAGAATGAAGGTATGTGGAGGTTATGAAGACTGACATGGCAAGTCTGAAATTCAGAAAATTTCAAATTCAAATGTTCTAATTTGGCTCTTACTCAAGGTGCAGGGGAGGGAGTTTCATGCTTTGTGCCAGGCCCTGTGCCAAAAACAAACAAACAAACAAAAAAACTCACTGCTGTCAGTCAATTCCGACTCACAGTAACCCCTCCTTAGGCAATCTCTCTATGGAAGTAGATTGTCCTTCCGAGGAGTGGCTGGTGGGTTTGAACCACCAGCCTTCTGGTTAGCCTTAGGCACTATGCCACGAGAGCTCCTGGTCCTGTGTTAAGCATTTCAAAGAAACCCTATCCTTGGAACAACTTTGTAAAGTAAGGATTATTATTCCTACATTTTAGATTAAGAAAATAGTGCTTAAGGAGGTTAACTGTCCAAATTTATCTGAATGCCCCAAATTCTAAGGTCAAATGTTGCTTCTTTGGACTCCTTTGGATGAATAGCGACAGACGATTTTCAGGATAAAAGCAGTTTTATCTGTCTAATATTTGGATCCTGTCCCTCTACTTTTGGTTAGATGAAAAAATTGACAGGCTCTTGAAGTAGCAGGTTAAGTGGAATAATCAAAAAATGGAGGAGACTAAACAAGGAAAAGTTGTGGACAGTGTTGTTTCAGTTTATAATATAGTGTTGGAAGACTATACATCCTATTCTTGCCTGCCTATAGAACTTCACAAATAGAAGTTATAGAAGCACCTCCATGCCTACTTCTCTAGGATTTATATAGTTCTCAGGCAACTGCCTCAGATTCTCCAAACTCTCTTGTAGCTGAGACTCACTAATCCCTCCCTTTTAAAGTAGTTTGATTAATCACCTCAGATTAAATAAAACTCCAGGGGAAGTTCTTTCTGCCTAAACAAGTTTAACATCTTTCTTAACATCTTTCTGGTAACAGGCCCCTTTGAGAATTGCAGAACAAAACTGTCTTTTGAATCTACTCCTCAGAAAAATGCCTACATACAGTGAACATTACAATTTCAGAAAGTTAAAAGATCTGAAGCCATGAACAATTTGCAAGAATCTGAAGTTTAAAATCTATTTTGCATGGTCAGTACCAACATGTGGAATGATTTCTCAGGTTTCAGTTCCTCAGGACAACTTCAACTCCCTCAAAACTATAGGCCCATTAGTTGTCTAGCTTTGTCTGCTAACTTAGCAAACTGAAGGAATCAGTCCAATATTTCATAGTATATTCATTCTAACAATGTAACAGCTTCATTGTGTCAGATAGTTCCTAAATGCTGGCTATGCAAAGATGAATACAACAGGGCATCTGCCCTCAAGATAAGTAAAGGTTCAAATTGTAAAACATCATGTGAAGTGCTTAAATGGAGGCTTGAAAGACATGCTTTGGGAGCAGAGAAGGAACCATCAGTGTGATTAGTCTTGAGGAGCGAATAGGCTTCTAGGGAGTATGCAGCCATTAACCACCGTTAGACTTCTCTTTATCTTATGCAGAAATATGTCAGGGTCCACAATTTCAACTGATTATTAGATTTTTTACTTAATGGAGTTCAAGAATATATTTTAGATACAAGCATATTTGAACAAATCATTAGAGATATGGTGAATACAAGAACCTGTTCTTAGCATGTGGGAATTTGAATCAATCAAATAGACCTTCAAAAACATAAAATTTGGAGAGCAGGCTTGGGAATGTTTCAACTCTGCACATTCCAAAGAAAAGGCTAGTTTTTGAGCAACTCCTGGGAAATAGTCTATAAGCCCTTGAAATACCTTGCCTGATAAAATTGTCTTTCTGTATCTAGGGCTTTGGGCCTTGTTATGCTAACAATGTGATTTATGGTGAATGCTTGTTTTTGTTCACCTCAGACCATGTAACAGCTGTGTTAGTTTGGCCGCTGGGAGTGCTGGAGACTGACTACCTAAAGTTAGTTGGGTGCTCCGTGTTTATGTGACTGACTCCCCATTAAAACTCTGGACATCTAGGCTCTGGTGAGCTTCCCTGGTTGCATTATTTTGCATGTGTGTCACATGTTATTTCTCAGAGAATAAGCACTGTCCACGTGGTTCCAGTAGGAGAAGACAAATGGAAGCTTGCCCCTAGTTTTTTTGGACCCCATCATATGCACCTTTTACCTTTGATGATTTTAATTTGTGTCTTTTAACTGTAATAAACATTAACCACAAG